ATTTTTTATTGTATAAAAAATTTTTTGTAATATTCAAATATACTTGAAAAAAAAATAAATTTGTAAAATTCATTGTTTTAATTATATAATATGTCAGAAATCATCTGACTGCACTCTCAATTGTTAGTAATGCTAAGACTTTTTTACTTTAGTAGTAAATTAATACAATGTATATTAAATATATTAAATAATTAATTGTAATAAAAATTTAACTACAATTATTTATTTACAATTTAATTAATAATATAATATAAACCTGTTATTTAAAAATTAACAACTTACTAACTACTTCAAGTTATTATATTTTTATAGTTTTTGTTATATAAACTAGTAATAAAATTAATTATAAAAATGTTTATATTTTTTAAGAATGTGATAATCTAGTAAAGTTGACAGGTTGTTAATCTTCAAGTAACTAATCTAAAGTTCAAATTTTATAGATGATAAATTTTAAAAATTATATCTGTATTATAATAATTAACTCTGTTAATTAGTTAGATTAGCATATCTGTAATCTTTAGTTACATTATCTTAAATAGAATATTAAGAAATCTATATAAAGTGTAATGTTATATATATATAGAAGAATATTAATAGTATTGTATAATACTTTGATGCAACTCATAATAAGACAACCAGATGCATAAAATATAGAAACTGAGAAGTTAAAAGTCTATTTGAAAATCCTAAGTAAAAAAATAATACAAACTTTCAATAATGCTGTTGAATTAATAAAAGTTTATAAAACTTCTTTAGTAAAAATAGATATATAAACTGAATGACAAAATATATAAAAGAGTATATGACCAACTAGACTATCAGAATTATTAAAAAAAAAATATTAAAGTATATTATAATAAATTATTTGGATTAGAAGTTTAAAAAGTTCTGTTAATTCTTAGTTATAGTTAGTAGAGAACAATAAAAAAGATATTAAAAGATGGATATTAAAGTTTAAATAAATCTTATAAAGATATAGCAGTTTAATGATTAGTTCTAATTACAAGTATTAGTTTAGATTAAAGTAATATTAGGTTAATTGTAAGTATAAGATACAGAAGACTTTGATGAGTTTAGTATATAATTTAGTAATTATAACTATTTTTATTAGTTTATTAGTATTATTGATAAAGTAAGATAAATACAAGATCTAAAGTTGTAGGTTTAGGTCACAGATTATATGTCTAAGTCTTTATTCTTCATATATAATTTAAAAGCAAGCTTTTCTTTGTAAAAACTTTAATTGAATTTCAATAAAGTTAAAGACATAGGCTCATCATTAATATTTAAAAAAAAAAAAAAAAACAAGATCTAAAGTATTTAAATAAAAAATCTACAGATGAGTTTTAAATATAGTAACTAGTATAAAATCTTTAAACAAACTACTTAAATTAAACAATAACTAAAGTTGTATAAGTGGCTAGTTGTATAATCTTTTTATGATTGTCTTTGTATTTGTTATATAACAGATGCTAGCCAATATATACTATTAATAAAATTCTAAATTACAAGTACTTACCTTAATATTAAAAAAAAAAGTTTATATTTAATATAATTTATAATTTTTAAAAACCTAATACAGGCTTTATAATTATAATCATTTAAAATGAATATAGTTATTATATAAAAGGTATATTTATTTATTATTATTTTTTTATATTATTATTTATTTTTTAATTGTATTTTTTATTATCCTTTATATTTTAATATTTAATTTTCTAGAATGTGATGACTTAGTGAAGTAGTTAAGTTGTCAACCTCCCAAGTGATAGGTTGGGAGTTCAAAACCTACTGATGATAAAAATTTGAAAAACTACCTATATTATATCAGTATTATGAAAGATAAGCGATATTATGGCAATGGCATTCTATTGATCAGTTGAGATTAGTATCTATAACATGGTCACATCATATAACTGGCAGGTCATAAGGCATCTGCGTAATGTTGGAGTTATACAGAGAAATGCAAACTAGTATTGGGTAGTGCAAATCCAAGATAAGTCCTCATAGTCATATAAATCTGTAAACTAGGAAATCAGAACCTACTTAGAAAGACTCAAGTAGAGAGATAGCACAGATCTTCATCAGTATTACTGTAAAGGCTAGACCTAGAAAACAGATACCAATGTGAAAGGAATCAGGTGAATAAGAACCTTAGATGAAGGGTACCACCAACCAGGCTGCTAGAAGTCTTGAACCAAAGAAAAAAAACCTTGAAAGGCAGACCCTAAAGTATCAGAGACAGGTTATAGTTCTATCAGGCTATCTGAATTGGAAGTCTGAGGTCAAAAACAGAGATATACTATAAGTATTAGGAATATGCTATGAAGTTAGTGCTGAGATCTAGGTGAACTCTGCAAGGGTAAGCCCTATTAACAAAATACTAAATGTGGGTAGTTAGTTAGTAGAAGAATTCTCTGGAGCCTTACAGTCAGGTGACATACTCTGAAATGTGTAACAGCTTAATGGATATACAAACAGGAAGGTTACAGTTAGGTTAAATAACACTTAGATGTACAGAAACTTGTGTGCTATTTGTTGGTGTAAGTATAGGGATCAGAGTGTTTAAATAGATAATCTTCTAGTAGATTGCAGATATGGTAGCTAGTGTAGAACCTGCTGTGTGAGCAGACTACTTAAAATAGACAACCAAAAGTTGTACATGTGACTAGTTGTATACTCACCTTGTACAAGTTATGTAATCATAATTAAATACAATAAAGGCAATAGCCACCAATAACTATGGCCTTAGTGTAAGCAAAAAAAAAATAATAATAATAATAATTGAATAAATTTCTAAGTTACTATAATGCCTTTAATATTGTGTAACAAATGCAGCAAATTGCTTTTAAATACTTATAAAAGTAGTTAAAAAATATCAAACTAGTAAATTATGTTTAAAATATATATAAATTAATGAATACAAATCTTAATCAAGGTTAATAACAAGATTGCAAAAAAAAAAAAAACCCTCTAAATTTAATAGTATAATATTTGAAAGACATCACTTCAAACATAATAAAAAAAAATATGACTAAATTTTTTCTTGTGCTTTCAATTCTAATTGTAAAGCAAAATAAAAACTTTAAGTTATTTAAAACACTTAATCTGTTTTAAAGATAAAATAATCGACCAAATTTCTAAAAAAATATTGTAATATGTATAAAAAAAATTTTAAATCGATTGAATTGTTTGCATTTTCTAGAGACATGTTTTATATGACAATATGATGTTTATGACATTCTTGACATGCTTCATTAAAATGTCCAAACATGTTAATGATAAATAAAAATTATCAAAACTCATTTCTTGTCCCAGTAGGTTTGTAAAATTTTAAAAAAAAATTAGTGTCTTAACTTTCACTACTTCTATCTCAATGAATTTCGAAGCTGTTCACATGATTGAATAATCAAAAGAAAGCTTAGATCTTAAGCTTTCACCTGACTACTTATTCATGAGAATAGCTTTGAAATTCATTGAGATATAAGCTGTGAAAAATAAGGAATTAATTTTTTAAAAATTGTCAATCTGCTTGATGGCAGCCCATATATAAAAATTTTTTTTTTTTCTTTTACATTTTTAAACTTTTTTCGAATATATACAAGGTAACGGTTGAGCAAATTCTTAATTGGTTAACCCGGTACAACCGGTCGAGAATCGGGTAACCAGTTGGTAGGATCGAAAAGTACTTAAAGATTCCGAAAGGTCCGAAAAAAACCGAGACGGGATTATTAATCTCAAACGGTTGTAATCGGTTGACATAAAATAATTCGGTTCGGTTAACCGATTGAGGATTTTTTTTCAGTTCAAATCACTAGATACAGTAACTGAATAGTTGCTGATTGATTGTATTTATTTTTTTCAACTATTTAACTGGAAGTTGAAGGGTTAATTAACATAATTTGACGTTGAATGTTATCAATACACGAAAACTTGACCTAAAAAATAGACCCGCGAAAACAACCTGAAAAATAAAGGCTATAATTCATATACAAAGTTGTTAATATAGATGATTTTTTATAAAATAAGTGCTGCCAATGGAAAAGGGCACTTCGTCAAATTAAAAATTTTTCCATCACGCATTTATCAGATATGAAAATCACAAGTGCTAATTAAACATTTAAGTGCATAACATCTCTCTTAAAAAACTTGATGATAAACATCACGTGTATCATACATTTTTTTCGTTAGCGTTATTAAATTACTGTGGTACATAATTTAAAAGTTTATCAATTTTTAACTTTAAGCCAAAAAATCAATTTAACAATAAATTTTATTTTCAAGACACGAATTAGTTATATATTCATTTTGTAATGTACTGGGCAAGTGGTATAGCAAAAGTATTAGAAGTTCGATCGCCAGACTATAGTAAATTTAATGATTCGAAAACGACTGATCAAAGTCCTGATACTAAAACTAGCCATTCAAGTGTAATTTTAAAACTAAAGCGCAACAAACTTGGAAACTTGTTTGTCACTTTAACTAAGAATTCCGTACAGTTATGGGGTTTTAGGGTAAGGCACATAAGGTGACACTTCGAATTTGCCTTGTTATCACCGAGAAAATATTCAAATTCTGTTTAGCTGGTCTCGAATTGCAATTAAAAACACATTTTTATTTCTATTTATATTATAACATGAAGCCTACAGCGTTAATATCACAAGTATCTAGAACCATAAAATCGATTGAAGAGTATGGTGAAAATATCGACGTTTTTTGGAAGCCCGATGGAAATCTTATAATCGTTCAAGTAAGATATTCATTACTGCAACAAAAGTTCCATTTTTGTCTGCTCATTTCAGTTTAATTAATATATACACTTTAATTATTCCTTAATTCCTTAATTCAATAATTAGACAAATCAAAATTGCTTATTCACTTATACTGTTCTCCCTTTTGATGATAAAAGTTACAAATATCAATTTGGCCGTGTATCCCATCATTATGTTTCTGGTGCAGGTGAAGGCAACGGAATAAAAACATTTTTGTTAAAATTTAGAATGACTATTAGGATCGATGCTGGAATGGAGGCGTGAGTAGGTTTCTCTTTTAAGATATGTCAAAGTTTTGTTTCATTTAAATTTCCACATACCATTCACATTAACTGCATTAAAGAATATATATATATCTATTTATTTATTTATTTATTTATATTTATTGTCCTAAATATTTTTTTTTCTGACTGAACAGGGGAGTTGGAACGGACGAATATTTGATTGTCTCAACAAAAAATCCACCTGCAATTCAGTGTATACCTTGGCTTGGTGAACCCAGTGGAACAAAAACAAATATACTGTCTCGGTTGGAATTTCTAGAGTCTAAGGAAGGTTCGTAATTATTAAACACAAAAATTTGTGATGAAGAGAATTCAAACTGTAAATCATAAAAATACATCCTTTATAAGAAATATTATTTATTCCAAATTTGCAAATATTTGGATGTTTTATTTGATACTTGGTGGCTTTATTCATTCAAGTCTGTTTCTTTAATGTTGCGATGTTTAATCATGCAAAATGATGGAACGTTAATTACTTTTGAAACAGATCGAAGCTTTTATTTGTTTCTTGGCACTCAATGCATTATTTTAAGATATTTATGGTTTAATTATATATAGTTGCCATTAAATTAATCGTGTTTGATCGACGAATCGATCTTTTTGGATGGATAACTTCTGATGGAAAGGCTTATGCTGTACAATTTAATGAAAATGATACATCTGTAAGTGGTTATTTCGTAAGATGCTTTTTTTTTTTTTTTACAATATGCAATATTCTTATTTATTTATATATATATATAATAGCCAGAAAAAATTTCCAAGACTCCATTGTTATATTGGACTGGATATTGCTTCCATGCAAGTGGTGATCTTGAGCCCGCACCGAATCATCGTGCTACTTGTTTAGCTATTAATGCGAAATTCTCTTTAATTGCTGTTGGAACTGAAGGGTTAGTCTATTTAATAGATATATATGTATTAGCAAAGAAAAGATTCCTTGGTCAGTAATGATACCAAAAATGCTTACTACTTTTTTGTATATTTACATGCTTATATAATTTTAATCTGAAATGTTTTATAGGGGAGCTATCTATGTATACTTTGCTAAGAATTATAATGGCGACATTTATTTTTCACATAAATTATCTATATCTGAATACTTGGAATCTTTTAATATCCTTTCATAAATCCATGCCTCAGTGTCAAAAGTTTTTCTAATGTATTTTGGTTTTCATATCCTTAACGATGATTCACCTATCTCTGCAGGTTCCGTGACATCGCTTGCTTGGACTTCTGACGGTTATGCTATTGCTGTGGGGTGGCAAAATGAAGGAATGGCCGTTTGGAGTGTTTATGGTCGACTTTTGATGACCACTGTCAGAGATGATTTACCGCAATCGATGTATGTATAGAATATGAATGTCTTTTTATTCATTTTTTAGAATGTATAATAATTATGAAATTTTCTGCTTATTTTTATGTCGTAAAAGTTCAGCGTGCAAAGATGCATTTTTACATGGTATTAATGACTTGGTATGTGTAATGTGTAATGTAATTATTATTTTCTTGAAGCTAAATAAAAATGCATTAAGAAAACTATTATCACTTCCTATCTTGTAGTTTTGGAGTTCTGGAAATTGTGAGCTCTTTTTATTGCATAATTCAAAGTCTGAAGACGGTAAATACTTCTTTAAATGAATTTCTATATTGAACTTTACTAAAAGAAATAATGGGAAAATTGTTTTTTTGTTATAGACGATCAATTATATACACTACCATTCGCCAAGTCAGCTGTAACAACGATCCATAGTCCAGTTAAGTTTGTAATGTTATGTATTAATAATTTTCTTGTTTGAATTATAACCAATCATTGAACTGGCTCCAATAGGATAATACAAAAAGAGGATTTTTACAAATGGATGACCGTTTATTGCTTTATCGTGGTGGTGATCAAGAAGATCTTAGTGCCATTAATCCTGACACTATAGTTTGGCAGCATATTCCAGTATGTAACGAATATCAAAATTAATTTGCTAGGAATTCTTTTGTATCTTAATCATAATATATAAAAACCGGTTTTTTTACTTCATGCCTTTAGGTACCGATCATGTATATTAGCGAAAATTGGCCTATAAAGGTATTAATATATATCTATTGGACGTATTTTTGCTTTTTTTTTCGTAATTCTTATTCCCTTTTTTCCCTTTTCCATTTTAAATGTTTAGTATGCATCTATAAGCGGAGATGGTCGGTACATTGCAGTTGCTGGTAGACGTGGATTGGCACATTATAATGTTAATTCTGGTCGTTGGAAGTTATTTGGCAATCAACAACAGGTTTGCAATAATTTAAATTTATATTATAATTAATTTATCTCTAACTTTTGTAGAGTTTCATACCTTTTGAATTTAATATTATAGGAACAAGAATTTGCAGTTCGTGGTGGATTATTATGGTTCAAACAGTTTTTGGTTGCTGCGTGTGAAAATGTTCGAACGCATACATATGAGGTATTGCGTTTTTTAAATCTATCAAAGAATTACAAAATATGTATAAGATATTGGGTGTACTATAAAAAAAATGTTATGTTATTTTAGTATGTTCAATATCGATGTTATTGTTCATATTGTATTAGCATGTGAAATTTTTTGTCGTGAAATTTTGCATAAACGATGATGGCATTTTATGACAAACATATCAAGTCAAAAAATTTTTATATGATCATATCACATGAACAATAACTTTAGATATTGTATATGTTTAATGATCAATTGTTTATTAAAGTGAATTGAATTTTTTTCTTAGATTAGGATGTATTCACGCGAAACAAACTTGGATAATATTCACATGATTCAACTTATCAAAATACCTAGTAATATATTGTATCTTAGCATCGTGGATAATGCACTACTTGTTTATTGCGGTGATAATATGATGTATCATTATCTTATGACCATATTATCGCCTCATGACAATGGAGGTATTAAATCAATCTCGGTCGAATTGTGCCAACAAATTTCTTTTGTTGGTGTGATTCACGCTCCAGCAAGAGTTAGTTCTATTTCATGGTTTCAACCAAAATTGCATAGTAAGTGCAACAAAATTTTGAAACTTATTTTTGCCTAAAATTTTTGACATTCCATAATTACCAATGTACAAATAGGGCCTTTCACCCCGGATACTATTCAGACTGCTTCAATAATATTTCTTATAGATGGAAAACTGGTTTTGTTGCATCCTAAAAAGGTTGGCATAATACGATCTTTCATATTGTGGTTCACAATCTTCATCGTTTTGTATTCATGTATTCATATCTTTTTCAGAGTGATGAAGGTGAGGTACAATATGACCTACACATTCTCGCTGATAAAATTGAATCTTATTGGATGTCCACACGCGGAATTGGCAGTTTGAAAAATTCCTTATGGGCTTGTGATAGTCAAGGAGTTAAAGTAAAAAAAAAATATTTATGGTTAAATTAAGGGTGATCCGACCTATATAATTTTTTAATGATTTGTATTTTCTTTAGATATGGATGAATATATGGTCTAACGAAGAAACTGCGAAAGATTGGCAATCAGATGTTTTATTATCAGCAACAAAAGAATCTTTGCGTATAAAACTGGAATTTTATCCTTTATGTGAGCCTAATATCAAAAATAGTAGTGATAACATTTTGAACCGTCTATTCATAAGTAAATATTTATGTTTCGTGAATGTCTGTAACTTTATTTATTTAGCCGTGTTGCTTGATAAAGGCATTATTGTTGGCGTTCAACAACAAACTTCTTTTAGACAATCTCTTGAGTTTACCATTTTCAAATTAATGACAAACGTGAGTTTAATGATTTATTGTTTATTTATTTACGCAAGAAATAATTAAATATATAATATTTATTTTTCTGATATATAAATTTATAATTAAACATTCAACAGACTCATTTATTCTTACAACATATCCTTCGCTATATGTTAACTAAAGAGTACATATTACATTCTTGATTATATTTTATTTTTAAAATTATATTATCAAATGTAATCAGTAACATTAATTGTAACATTAACATTTTCAGTCTCGAAGAAGAGTCGGTCGCTTTTGCAACAAGTTACCAAGGGTTGGTATATTTTGGGCATGCATTAGAGATGCTTTTACATCATGTTTTAGAAGATGAAGCGGAACACACTGTTAAAACAGAGAAAGGTAGTTTAAATAGGTCATCATAATTATATTTGATAGCATATAACATGGATGCATAATTTTAATTTATTATTTAAATTTGATTTCAATTCGGTATTTCATCACAAAAATATACAGTAGTCGTGTTACCGCGTGTTATAAAGTTCATCAATCATTTCCCGCATTCGCTTGATGCTATTGTAGGTTGTGCGCGTAAAACAGAAGTTGCCTTATGGGATTATTTATTTTCTATTGTAGGCAGCCCTAAAGATTTATTTGAGGTAATAATTAATTATATAATGTAATATCTTTTAATCAATGACTAATTTATTTTGGCATTTTAGAAATGTATGGAAACTGGATTACTCAAAACAGCTGCATCTTATCTACTTGTTCTTCATACATTGGAACCCATTGCTGATAGTAGCAATGTTTGTATATGTTTTGTGTTATTTTTTTTTTACAAATTTTTGAATTCTTTTTCATATCCTAACACTGTTTTGGTCAAAATTTTTTTTCAGGATACCATAAGATTGTTATCTAAGGCTATGGAGGCTGAAGATTACGAGGTGAACTATTTTTTAACATTATGTAGGTACAGTAAATCCTCGACTTAACTCAAATTTCATTTACTAGTTATGCAAAGAACTTGTAAGATTTTTGAATTCTATAGATGGTACGCTCTTTTCATTATATTTAACTTTCTGCTATTTCTTATTGATTATTAAGAATTGTTCTTACCATACTATTTAGGGTCAGGTAAAACTCTGAAAGATGCGTTATCAACAATCCAACTCATTTCTTCTACCAATGATGTATAAATGTCTTTAATAATCATAATAGTAATTGATTGATTGGCAATAATCTGGATATCATTATTACCTGCCTGTTTTTATTATTGTTATTTAGAAAGTAGATTTTTTCCACTAATGTTTATAATTCTAGGGATGTTTTCATAAATTCCTTAAGAGATACCCATTGTTATTACTTCTCGTTATAGTATAATATATATTTAAATCGTTTGACAAATACACATAATAAAATGATTATTGCTAAATGAAAATTAGATTGAAAAAAGATAATTATTTTCTGGGAGACATTTTATTTACTATGTTAGATAATTAGGAAAAAATATTGTATACTGGACTAAACCAGCGATGCATAATATTATATGTATTTCAACTTAAAAAACAAATTTGTAGTTAATGTATTAAGAATAAAGTCGTTTTTCGTATCTTTGCAAATAAAAATAAAAAAAAAACAGAAAATGATTAATAATGATTCTTTACATGAATATTTATTGTATTTTAAATTACTTAATACTCACGAAAATAAACCATGTACACCACCCTCGACTTGTGCAGCAACGGTTCTCAATTCAAATCTTAATTTACCAGATTCAGCATTTTCCCATAACTGACTTATACTCTTAACTCCAACATCTTGTAATGCATGTTGTAATCCGGTCATTAAATATGGAACAAACTTTCTAATACTACCCTTATCAATAACGGCACCAGCAACGCCTTGTGCAACTTTAATAACGTCTCTTTCAGAAAAATATCTACCTGCAGCAGTATTATTATTATTCGAACTTGTGCCGCAAATATTTCGTTCCATTGCATCCAACGAACCCATGCCACGATATTTCTTTAGTCTCTGACCTTCATGATAAAAATAATCACCAGGAGATTCAGTAGTACCAGCGAGTAACCCACCCATCATTACAGAAGAAGCTCCAAGAGCTAAAGCTTTTGTAATATGCCCAATATTTTGAATACCTCCATCTGCAATTACTGGAATACCAAATTTTTTGGCAAATTGAGCGACCATGTATACAGCAGTTCCTTGAGGACGACCTACAGCCATAACTAAATAAAGAATATCATCAATACTAATGCTAAATATTAGTCAAGAAAGAAAATAAATAATTAAATAACAACCTTCCTGTGTAATGCATATACTGCCACTACCCATGCCGACGCGCAGTGCGTCAGCACCAGCTTCAATCAACCGAGCCGCTTGCTCTCGAGTGACAACATTACCGGCGATGACCTCAAGTGTTTCGCTATATGTTTTTTTGATATATTGTATCATTTCAACTTGGTATGATGAATTTCCCTGACTAGAATCCAATACTACAATATCTAATCCTGCATCAACCAACTTTCGAAGTCTCGCTTTATCTTCGAATCGAGTTCCAATGGCTGCAGCACAAATCAATTGCTTCGAGTGGGGAGACTTCGATGCCAGAGGAAAATTAAGATTTTTAAGCAAATCGGACCTAGCAAGTAATGCAACCAATTCACCACGAGAATTGACAATCGGTAACTTCCCACGTTTACTACACCTAAGTATTTGATTAGCTTCTTCAAGAGTAACACCTTCATGTGCTACCACAAGATCGGTTGTCATAACATCTTTAAGTAGTGTGGTATGATCTTCATGGAATTGAATATCACGAGCAGTAACAATACCAAGAAGTATGCTGTAGAGTTTTCCGTTCGCTATGATTATTATTATTGAAAATAATATCACGTAAAAAAATTGAATAAACATATTGTAAACTTTTTTTTCTTTTCTATAAATAACGCTATGTTCTAGTTATGGATCAGATTACATAATTTTCCACAAGGATACTTTAACGTGCACCATTCGGAAGAACGAAAGTTATACAATTTTTATTCATCATATCCATTTCATATGAAACCTTTGGCAAAGAGACATCAAGGACTGGAAAGAAATATTTTTCACCATGTGTAAAAAAAATTCTTGAAAATAATTACTTTACCAGTAATCGGAATTCCACTATAACCAAATTGAGCTTTGATCCTATGCACATCAGCCACGGTATGTTTAGGAGTTAAGCATACAGGATCTGTGATAAAGCCATTTTCGAATTTTTTCACCTTCCTAACCATCTCAGCTTGTTCATCCGGTGAACAATTGTTATGAATGACACCAATACCTCCCAATAACTAATGAGGATGCACGTGACATCAAGGTCAGTAGGTTAAATTGTAAAAAATGATTTTCGAACATTGGCTTATGAAACATCCACAGTATCATGCTGTAGATCAAATGCGTCATGTATTTATAACGACTGAAAATGATAATTTTCTGCACGCGAAATGCTTAAAAAAATGAAGAATTGAACTTACGGCAATGTTAATAGCCATTTCGGATTCTGTTACAGTGTCCATAGGCGAGCTAACAAACGGCGTCTTTAAAGTGATGTTTTTTGTGATCTTGGTCTCCAAAGATACTTCAGAAGCTGGAAAATCAATATATCCGGGCAAAATAAGAAAGTCATTATAAGTTAAACCTCCATTGACACGTGAGTCCATAATTTCCTCTGCGGATAAACCATCAGCTTTACTATATTCCGATAAATGTTGAATAGCATTCTTTGGATCAAGATAAGTGTAAACGCCATTATCGTGAACCATTTTTGATTTTATTATTATTATTTTTTTATTCTAATTTCAACCGAGTAAGTTGCGAAAAGAAAGGAAGTAAAATAAAAGCAAGTTTTATACTAAAAACTGGATCGAATACGATTGAGCATGTTGAGCAACGTTACACTAAATGTGAAGTTGCTCAAAAATCCCGCTAATGCAGTTGGTAACAATATTATCTTATTACCCAAAAAAATATTTTTTCTTTGAAATCCTAGAACCTATATAAGTATCGTTTATTATTTAGATAAATATACACATTAAAAGACTGTGGTATATATACGTATTATTGCTTGCATTTCTGCACATTTTTGGAAAATTATTAATGCTAAACCTATTATAATCTGCTATATGTTTGTTTTTAGATGTTTTTTATAAGTACAATTATATATTTTTATATTTATACACTTGTAGCCTTAATGATTTTTTAGAACTATAAAAATATATGCTTATAATACATAGATTTTTTATATACAGATATTAAATAGTAATTGAGTTCAAATAGAACCCCGAATAATATATATTAAAATTTTGGCTAAAAAAAAAAATACTTTTTTATAAAAATATTATTTAAAAACAAGCTAATAGCAAAAATATTATATTTGAAAGTGGCCAATAATCTTTATTAAAAATGAATAAAATAGTTAACTTTTGATATTATTATATTTAAATTTTTGATAATCTAATAAAAGTGTTTTTTTTGTTACGAATTGCTAAAAAAGTAAAATATATTTAAAATTTGGTTAAAAATAGATTAATATTAAAGGCATATATATAAAACATGGTATATTTACTCTAAAATAAAATGGCTAAAAATTTTATATTAAAGTCAATATAATTGCTATATATATGGGCTAGGTGCTATAGAAAAGGAGGAAATCATCAAATTTTTTAAAATTAATTTTTTTATATAAATTAATATAAAATACAATCAAGATCTTTTTTTTTTTTTTTTGGTATTAAGATGACCTCTTTGGTCTTTTGACTTTTATTAATTACTTATCAATATTGTAGTCAATGAACTACTACAGGAGAGAGTACAATTGGTTACATATATAACTTTTTTATATTACTTATTTAAGGAGTCCGCCTGAAGGTTCTTCACCAATTGCCATACCTAACACTTCTGCTTGGGTGTTCTACTTTAAACTCTCTAAATCTGTAACCTGTGTTAACTCACTGAGTCATACCCAGATGTTCAGATCATCATCTTAACCTTAGGACTAATTTATCTTCAAGGTAAACCCCTCAGAGCCTTCTGTATCTATTTTTATAGCTGACTTAGATATCACTATGACAAAACCAATACTTGCAATCAGAATTAACCATTAAACTGCTATGTCCTTATAGAGTTTATTTAGATTCTAGCATCTACTTCATAGCATAATCTTGGTACTTTAGTATACTCTTGCCTTTTTTCTTATCTTTTTATCAAACTTCTAATTCAGATAGCCTGTATAGGATTATGACCAGTCTATTGGTATATCAGATCAGTCTGATATCTTTTTTCTTCAGTTTGTTCTGACAGTCTGGTTGGTGGTATCTTCAAGACTTCTAACCCAAAGGTTCTTGCCTATCTGGTTATTATAACCAGGTACTAGACCTTGATATCTGTTTTACCAGGCTAGCCTTTATAGTAGGGCCATCAAAGATCCAGCTACTTCTCTACTTGGGTCTTCTCAAATAAACTTCTTGTTACCTAATTTCAACAGATTTACATGGTCACAAGAACTTATCTAGTGTTTGCATTGTCTGATTTGTCAATTTGCATTTCTTTATATAACTCCAACATTTCACAGATGCCCTATGACCTGCCAGTCATGCTGATGTAACTGCCATTATAAGTATCCTAACCTAATTGTTAGTAACAGTTGTCATAATATGAATATTATATAGGTAATTATCCAAATTTTCATCATCAATGGGATTTGAACACCCAACCTATCACTTGGAGGGTTGACAACCTAACTATTTCACTAAGTTGTCACATCTCTTCAAGATCATTTTTTACTTAAAACACAAAACTAGTTTTATTAATAAAATTTTGCAGTATAGCTCTTCAAAATTTATAATTTCTTATAGCTTATTATAAAATTTATAATATAAAAATAGATTTTTTAAAGATCTTTTTTTTTGTTGATTTGCTTTTTTTCTATAGCACCTAGCTTATATTTTTTAGAATTTTGTTTAAATATATAATAAATATTATTATAAAAGGTTTTATATAGATTGTTATATATTATTAAAAATATATTAACTTTTAAAGCTAATATTTCAATAAATTTGAGGTTATTTATATAATTTAATAGATAAAAAAGTTAAATTTTTGCATTTTTTCTTATTAAAATAATGTAGTTTCAAAATATAAATTACAAAACATTAAAATATTTTTATTAATATTAGTATATATCTAGTTGAACCTTTCAAAACTGATAACCTGTAATAACTGATAAAAAATTAAACATTATATTTATTTAATAAGTCAAATCTGATAATCTGTTATTCTTAATAACTGATATATATATATATCTTTTTGTTAAGATAGTAGTTATTTTTTTTTTTTAACTTTAGTAGTCATATTAGTACTTTATTAAGATTCTTAGAACTATACAAATTATATAGAATTTCCTGATATACAAGTTTAATATCACTTGATCATTCAAATAATATCTAAGTGTAATCTGTTGTACTATTTTAGTTGAAAATAGACTGCTTATCTGATTGCTGTTCTACAATAAGACATTGTCAATCTGATGACATCTTTTTGTAAAAAAACCAAAAACAAAAAAAAAATTTTATATAAAAAAACAAAACTAAATATAAGATTAAATAATAAAAAATATAAATCAAGAAATAAAAGAGTAAATAAAATAAATAAAATGCATAAAACTTGTAATTCATAAATATCAAATAGTTATAATTATAAGTCTGTATCAAGTTTTAAAAATTATAAATTATATTAAATAGAAATAACTTTACTATTTTTCTATTTACTTAGATTATTTAACAAAAACCTATATAGAAAAAAAACTTTAACTTGGTTATAAAGAATTAATATAAAACACTAGTTAGTTTAAAAACAGTATTAACAGGTTTCTGTAGCTTGAGATATATGTATAGTAATGTTTATATTATTGTATTATTTTTGATTTATATTATCAATAAACCTGTTTAGGAAATAAAAAATATTAACTGTTTTGATAATTTTATATATTAATCTTTAGAAAAGAGTAAACTAAATCATTTATTTTTATAAATCTTTTTTTTAAAAAAAGTAAAATAAAAGATAAATCAACTTTATAATTTCTATAAATTCTTAATCTTTTTAGATATTTTTTGTAAGTTTTATAGTTATATAGAACTAATATATTTAACTTAGTTATTTATTTAATAAAAAAATTTAATTTTTACTAATTACTTTTTCTATAATTCTAAAATACTTTTAAATATTATTACAAAGCTGCAATTTTTTTTAACTTTATTTCAATGTTCAACTATATATATATAGTATTTTAAAAACATTTTTATAAAATTTAATATATTAACTATATTATTTTTCTATAGTTTAGTTTTTTAAAAAGTTTGATTTAAATAAGTTAAATTCTGCAAAAAGAGAGAAAAATAACAAATTTTTTAAAATGAATTTTTTTATATAAATCAATTTAAAATAATATTAGAATCATCTTGTAATTAAAATATAAAGACACTAGTATTAATAAAATTCTACAATATAGCTTATGAAAGTTTACATTTTTTTATGAATTATTATAAAATTTATAATATAAAAATTGATTTTCTAAAGATTTTTTTTGTTGATTTTCTTTTTTTTTGTAAAACACAACCTAAATGATTGTTAAAAAGAATTTTTTAATTTTGTAAAATAATAATTATTATCTTTATTGTGTTTTTAATTATATATATCTTTAACTTGTACAAGAATGGTATATACATATAGAGCAGACTATAGTACTTTGCACAACTGTGAAAGCTAAGCATATAGTAATCAATTCTATGAAAATAATTTTACAAAATTATTTTCAATATCTTTAATTTTTTATAATCTTTATACATGTTTTAACAAATTTCTTTTTTATTACAATTTAATATTTCTCTTATATAGTCAAACTATTCAAACCTTAATTCAATATATTGACAAATATAATAATAACAAAACTGTATTTAGTATTATATTTTTTATTAATTTATTCTATTATGAAACTTATATATACATTTCTAATAATATTTTTTTGGCTAATTATTTTGTAATTTCTTATATCTCCTTTTTATATTTTATCATTTACTTTTTAGATCTAACTCTTTTATCTCTACTTCTATTTTACCTAACCTGTTTTTTAATAACAACTCTTTAACTTTTTCTAACTGTAGATCTTTCTTATCTTTATTTGATTTAATTTCATATTATTTTTATCTAACTATTATTATACACAATATTAGAAGCTTTAATGAACTTACCAAAAGAGAAGCATGATAAGATTATTATCTTAATCATAACTTATCTATTGCAAGCATTATAAAAACCAAAATCTTAAACAAAACTAATTTTTTTTTTGTAATAATAACTTCTTCATTTACTACTGGTCTAATTTTTTTATTTTTATAAAAAGCACTATTATTATAATTTACAATTATCTTAAACCTCATATTTATAGTATATATACTTATTTTGGAAATGCTATAGTACTTAATATTTTTTTTGAAACAATATCAAGCTTCATATTATCTCAGTATATTTATTATCAACTAATACTTTTATTTGTAATCAAACTTAAATACAATAATTAACTGAATTTAATACATTCTTTAACTTCATATTTATTCTATTATTTTTGGTAATTTTAATATACAAAATATTACTTATAGCTTTTCTT